CGTCCACCAACGGCTGAGCGATGTCCGGCGCGTTCGAGTAGTACGAACTGGCGCCACTGTCACCGTAGCCCTTCTGCACCGGCAGCGGCGCCATTTCCCTGTAAGCAGACCGGATGGAGTTGACGTGGTTTTGGATCTGACTCGGGCGGTCGTCGTTGACTGTGCTCGACCGTGAATTCGACCTATACACCCGCCTATGCGCGAACAACGGAGCGAAATTTTGGCTGCTCGTTTCCGTGGATCGATTGAGTGAAGGAGTGGAAGAACTGTCGACAAGATTCATGTGCCGGAACTGGTCCAAGCACGGATTCATTTCGTCCAAGCTGTTGCCGCTCCGGTCCTTCGTCAGCGGAAAGCTGCGACTCATGTCAAAGCTGTCCTTCGTGAATGACTTGGCAGATATCGGCGTCACCGGGGTGGATTTCTGGTGGGGCGCCTGATTAGATCTAAACACGAAACAATAATCATTCACATGAAGAAGATCGACGCCGCCTAACTTATTTGACAAAAAGCTACTATCTTCTGCATTTCATGTAAGATCTGTAAAGCTATTTGGAGGGAACTCGAACGTCATCGAAAATTTTTAATTGTCGGGCAATCTAAACGGTAGTAGTATACAAAAAGCTTCGGAATCGTTTAAATGGCTGTCCAGCTTAAAATCACACTTTAATAAAGCGCTGCTATACGTCACCGAAAGGAAGAACTGCTTCAGATATAAAGTGAGCAACGCCGGAAAGAGCCAAAAAAACAAGCGTATTAAGGAATAAAGAGGGAGATCCTTGCTTTCAATGATTCTGAAAGGATGATATTAAAAAGATCGCAAATCTTTTGATTATCACATCAGCACATCTTCAACATACACGCTTTTTGTTTGGGATCAACTAATAACAATGTCTGACTAAAATATTTAAAAATAAACAGGTGTCGGCAACAGCAAGTTCAACTTTCAATGAAGCAACGTGTTTCTCACACACACTCTCTCTCACGAAACAACTACAAGGGCCACTGTTTCATAACGATATGCCATCAGGTACCTCACAGGCCTTCTT